ATCTCCTCTGAACGTCTGCCGACTCAATGCTCCTCAAATGTTGTCCAACTATGTCCAGCTATGCGGTGACCGCCGAACGTTTCTCATAAAAAAATGCTGACATATTCAAAAGAATTCTATAATATTTGCAAGAAGAAACTTGTCCTTGCTTAGGAAAAGATATTGATTCCTCTTCACCAAAGCTGTGCCTTTGTGTCCTTCGTTTTCGGATCATTAAACAATTCCGAAAGTTAACTTTCTGGGATCCCAAATTTCCTTTTTTGGGCTGTTTTTTTTTTTTTTTTTTTTTTTGCAGAGGCTGTTTTTCAGCACAGAGGCTGCTCTCAGGAACAAGTTTCATATTTTAATTAGGAGATTTTAACAATTGCAGACTGGAGCAAAAACTCGGCGGTGGCTGTTTTTCTTCAGCAGCTTTAAAAGCAAAGCGGAAGTAATTTACATGAAAATTAGTATTCCGCCTGCATTGAATCACCTTCACGCAAACAATTCAAACATGAAACATTTCAAAATCTACGTTGGCTTTATTTTTATTGTTTTTGCTCTGTTGTGTTTCTGCAGTGTACACACGTCTGGCTGAAATCAGCTGTTTCCCCCAACAATCGAAGAAATGTCTTTAAATAAGCATACACCTTAGTCCAAAGAGAGACCGCTGATATAAACAAAGAAGCGGCATATTCAAAGACAGAATATGCCAGGCAGTCATAACTTAGAAATATAGGTCGCAGATAATAGCAATAACTATCCCTTTTTAAAAACGTAGCTGCACTCCATCTTTCCTTCAGTAAAGTAGAACATGGCACTCAAAATAGAAATGGAACAACTTCAAACGCCTAGGCCAAGGGATTTGCAACCTTAAACACTCAAAGAGCCATTTGGACCTGTTCCCCACAGAAAAGAAAAAACCGGGAGCCACAAAAACCTTCCCGTGCCTGATTATTTCTTGAGCGGCCACAAAACTAGCATATGTCGTTGAATTAAACGTTCCCTTTTCTTCTGAAACTTTTCTCTTCTTGGATTTATCCATGGTGGTTGGCCTACCGGGGGTTGAAAAGCTCAATAAATCGCGTGCCGGCGGGTGTCGCACATTGGCGGTTGTGACGCATATTTTGAGTGACAGGGAGCCGCAGCAGACGGGTGAAAGAGCCACATGCGGCTCCAGAGCCACAGGTTGCTGACCCCCCGGCCTAGGCTACGCCCAAAGTATTGAAAATTGTGAAATTATTTTCAACCTCTTGAAAAGGGATCCTGTTTTGGACTCCTGAAGAGGAGAATGGAGCAGGTTGAGATCTGGGTGGCAGGTAGACATGTCTAACACTTGGGCCTCTCTCTTCTTTCCCCTTCAAAGCATTGTGAAGAATTACAAGGATAATCAGAAATACGTTATTGGATACTGAAGGATCACAAGCTCAGTTCCATGTTGATGCTCAAAACAAAATCTGATTTTTGTAGGTCTTTCCTTTCTAAAGACTTCGGCTGTGGTGTTGGGGTTTTGAGTCAGCCATCTCAGGATTTGAGTAATACAAAATTCTACATTTAATTTTAAAAAAATCTAGGCCATTAGGTTCTTTCTGGACAATCAAGACCGTCTTATCAATACGACTGAAGAGCTTCAGTCAAATGCTACAGCTTTTATGAAATGAACTTCTTTGTCATCTATGTCTGAAAGGTGCTTTTTCGAAAGGCAACTGGACTGTTTTATTCCTTGAGGAAGGAGGAGAAGACATTTTGCTTCTCATCCAAGAAGCTTTGCCAGTTCTGACAGGATGGTTGGGAGAGGGAAGGACAAATGGAAGACCTAAATCCTTCCATCTCCTAACCATCCAGTCAGAATTGATGAAGCTTCTTAGATGAGAAGCAAAAACTTATTCTTTTCTTCTTCTTCCTTTTCTCTTCTTCTTCCTTTTTCTTCTCTTCTCCTCTTCCCCTTCCTCCTCTTCCTCTTTTCTTCCCTTTCTTCCTTTTCTTCTCTTCTTCCTCCTCCTCCCTCTTCTTTCCTTCTCTTCTTCTTCCTCTTCCTCCCTTCTCCCTTTTCTCCTCTCCTTCTTCTTCCTTTTCTTTTCTTCTTTTTCTTCTCTTTTCTTCCTCCTCCTTCCTCCTCCCCTTCTTTCCTTTTTCTCTTCTTCTTCTCCTCTTCTTCTTCCTCCTCCTCTTCTTCTTCCTCCTCCTCCCCCTTCTTCTTCTTCCTCCTTCTTTTTCTCCTCCTCTTCTTCTTCCTCTTCCTCCTCAAGGAAAACACACTCCACTTGCCTTTCAAAAAAGCACCCTTGACACAATTATAACAATGGATGACTGATAATCTTCATCGACGTTGGCCTTCTAGAGCTCCACTTGAGATCCAGAAATGGTTCTTCAAAACCAAGATTGCATCATGTTCCTGCAGAACGCATTGGAACTAAGCTAAAGGCAACAGTGGTAGTCCAACATCACCGTTTCTCCTCCAACTCACCCAACATTCACGTGTTTCGGTAGAAGACTTGCCTAATGACATGTGCTCTTCCTCTATGACCTTCTTGTTAACAAGGCCAGGCTAAAAATGGGAACAAGTTTTCTCCTTTTGCTAGTTGCAAACAGACCCTCCCGAAATGTCTCTTGAAGAGACATTTGTGCCTCCAAAGCTGAGAGAACTCAACTCATCCCGTAATAAAAAGTGAGAAAGGTGTTGACATTTCTTATTTTTTTGAGGGGGGGGTGTCTGGTAGAGAGTTTGCAAGAGTATCTACCGAAGGTCGGTAAAGCAAGAGTGGTTTTTTTTATGGAGAGCGGCTCAGAAAGGCTGGTTAGAAACGCCAAGAGTTACTTGTCACTTCTCCCAACACTCAAGCGAATTAAAAAGACTTGTGTAGTTCCCCTTAGAAGAAAATATCTCGCATGGTCGTCGTGGAATGACACACCCATCCCGTTCCAAACTGGGCAAAAAAAGGTTTTTGAGTTTGGGAACGTGTGAACCAGGGGTGAAATCCAGCAGGTTCTGACAGGTTCTGGAGAACCGGTAGCGGAAATTTTGAGTAGTTCGGAGAACCGGCAAATGCCACCTCTGACTGGCCCCCGAGTAGGATGGGAATGGGGATTTTGCAGTATCCTTCCCCTGCCATGCCCACCAAGCCACACCATGCCCACCAAGCCATGCCCACAGAACCGGTAGTAAAAATATTTGGATCACTGATTCAAAAGAAGGGAAAGGGCGTGTACTCAAAATTGTACGTTCGTCTTCGGTTTAACTTCCGTTACCCCTTTCCTTTATCCGTCCTTTCTCCTCCATCTTACAGTTGTGGGTCATTAAGGAGAGATGCAGTGATTCACTTTAACAACTGTGACAAGAACGGTCGTACAATGGGGCAAAACGTCACCTGCTTTGCTTAGCGACGGAAATCTTGGGCTCAGTTTTATGGTCGTAAATCGAGAACTGACAGCATTTTTAATCCAGGCTCAATGTAGCTCAAACACGCTGTCTAGAATTTGGTAACACACACCGAAGTGGGTAGTTGATCGTATTCCTAAAGATAATCAAAATATAAATGTCTTTGGTTTTTGACAGTAATATCCCTTCTGAAATCAAATTAGAATGATGCATTATGTTTTTTAAGGCAACTTTTAAAAGACTTATTTGATTCAAATCATATCTCCACAAAGCCCTCGTTTTTTTCCGCAGTATGCATGCCGTTAAAAAGCAAAAATTCCTTCATTAACTACCGTTTCCATTTTCATCCAACCCGCCTCCCCGAAACAAACTATGATTTATCAGCATCGGGGCGAATCAGGAAACCAACATGAAACTAGGATGCATTTAAATGCTTTTGAAGCAGTCCGTTGGCCCACCCAGACCACTGGTTCTCTCAATAGGTATTGTCTGTCTAGAACATCAATATTTTTTTTTAAATGAACAAAATGTACAAAAGTATTATTTTATAGGCTAAACGATACATAACACATTTGGCATTGGAGTTTGGAAAATCAACACTGCATATCTATGAGATTTGATACTTGCACAGGTTTTAATTTTCTTCCCAATTTCCCTTTTTCTGGAAAAGGAATCCGTTTTTGCTTCATGGATTAAAAAAATCACCAGAATGTTGACATCTCCCCCAAAATATCTTGGTAAATCTCTTCTAATAACCTTACCTGGTGAACGGACGCCATTTTTTTAAGAAACCTAAAAAGCATTTTTTATGACTGTTTAAAAGAGAACTGAAACTACAGATACAGAGAAAAACCCTTTTTTCTCCTAACTTTCTAGAAACTTCCCATTTTCCAGGAAATAACTGGATTCGGTTAAAAAATAAAAAAAAAAAAACCAGAAAGCTGTTGTTGTTTTTTTCCCCTATTTTTCTGCAATCTTTTTGGTGCATGTCCTCTACCCCACCCAACCTTGCCATCTCTAACTCTCCAATTCTGGAAAAAGGGGGGAGAAGAAGAAGAAGAAAGAAAAGAAAAAGAATTCAAGACATAAGTAATAATACAAGGATCGCCTCTTTTTTTTTTTCCCCTCTATACTGCATTATTAGTATTATTTTTACCCATCTTCCTGCCTGTCGATTTCCTGCAAATAATTCTTGCCAAAAATAGGAGAGGAAAAAAAAAAGAAGAAGCTTGCCATCATTTAATGGAAGTGGAAAGAGAGAGAGAGAGAGAGAGGAGAGGAAAAAAATATGGTGGAAGAGAATGAGAGAATGCCCCCATTCAGAGCTGAGTCAACACAGCCATTTCAGCTTTTCTAACTCAAGCATGCAAAGATTGGATTGCTTCGTTTGGGGTAAAATCCAAAGTGCCTTTCAAATCTGGCCTCCAGAAAAATAGATAAAAGGATTGAAAAGAGAGAGAGAGAGAGAGAGAGAGAAAGAAACAGAGAGAGAGAAAGAGAGAGAGAGAGAAACACACAAACATACAGAGCTCTTGTTTTGCTATTTTGGTTGATCGATCCTTTTCTCTCCAACGGATCTTCTAGAGTAGGAGGACCTGCAGCTGGAAGAAATGTTGTGAAGGAAACTTGGAACTGATCATACCTCCGAAGCCTATCTGCGCTGGCCTTGGGGATTTTCATGGAAGGCTTTCGGAGAGGCCTAGCCTACACTCTCCACGAGTTTTAAGCCCACGGTAGATGATTGAGGAGAGCATGCTCCGTCAAGCTTTCTCGTGACGCCTCCAGAGGCCCAGCTGTTGCATTGCAAGCCGGAGAAGAGAAAAGAGGAAGTAGAGTGAAAGAAGGAAGGAAGGAAGGAGAAGAATAAAGGAGGAGAAGGGGGGAAAAAGGAGGATGAGAAGGAGAAGGACGAGGATGAGAAGAAGGATGAGAGAGAAGGAGAGGGAGAGGGAGGAGAAAAAGAGAAAGAGAAGGAGGAAAGGGAGAAGGGGGAAAGGAGGATGAGAAGGAGAAGGATGAGAAAGAGAAGGGAGAGGGAGGAGAAAGAGAAAAAGAGAAAGAGAAGGATGAAAAGGAGGAGAAAAAGGAGGAGAAAAGGAGGATGAGAAGAAGGATGAGGACGAAAAGGAGAAGGATGAGAAGGAGAAGGAGCGGGAGGAGAAAGAGAAAAGGAGAAGAGAGGAGAAAGAGAAGAAGGGGAGAAGAAGGATATGATGGAGGTGGAGGAGAAAGAGAAGGAGAGGGAGGAGGAGAAGGAGAAAGAAAAGGATGAAAAGGGGGAGAAAAAGGAGGGGGAGAAGGAGAAGAAGGAAGATGAGAAGGAGGTAGAGGCAGAGGTAGAGGCGGAGTAGAAAAAGAAGGAGAAGAGGGAGAAGGAGAAGGATGAAAAGGAGGAGAAAAAGGAGAAGGAGAAGGGAAGATGAGGGAGAAGGAGGAGAAAGAGAAGGATTAAAAGGAGAAAAAAGAGGAGGAGAAAGGGGAGAAGGAGGCAAAGACAGATATGGAGGAGAAGGAGGAAGAAGAAGAGGAGGAGATGGATACAGCAGGAGATGTCCTGAAGACAAATCCCTTTGCATGCCAGAAGGCTGGCTGATCCTCCTTTTGCTTCTTCTTTTTTTGCCCCATTTTGTCCCCCCATTTATTTTTAAGGCAGCCGGATGTTTCCAAAGAAAAATCAAAACTCCAGCTTTGTTGAACCAAAACAAAAGAGAGAGGATGAAAAACAGAAGGGGTCCCGAGACTTTTACCTTCCTCAAAGGCAGGACCGAGGAAGCCCACTCACCCAACCTCGATTCATACCAGTTGAGGATATTTGGGGTGGGGGGAACCCCTGGTGATGGGAATACAAAGACTCGGGGGGGGGGGGCCACCACATCTGGAGAGAGATCCCCAAGCGAGGAGGATTTTTAAATCTAGACCTTGCATATGCAAATCTCTGCATGTATGTGTGTGTGTGTGTGTGTGTGTGTGGAAATTTTAACGCTTCAATTGGTGGGGGGTTTTTTTTGCCGTTTCTATGACAACATGGATTTATGGGTCTTTGTGAAGAAGAAAAGGGTAGGTTTAAGATAAGAACGGGGAAACAAAACAGATTCCGTTTGCATATCAGCCTTATCACTTCCACGCCATTTTTTTCCCCCTTCAATGGACCCCATCCTGTAAATCAATCAATCAATCAATCAATCAATCAATCAAAGGAAGCTCCCACTTGTTTAGGAAATGTCATCTGCTAAAAATGAAGATGTGTCTTTTTTTGTATGTGTGTGAAACGGACCCACGTCCCACCAAGGATTTAATTTGGGGAAGCGTCGTCTTGAAATAGGCGCCCGAGTGCCCCCAGGAGAAAAAGAATCAATCAAGGAGAATTATTTGTAGCTCGGGTGTCGAAATGAGGGGGTTCCTTGGTGCTCCCTGAGCTTGGTGGTTTTCTTGCAAGACCCAACTAGGTAATGTCAACAGGGCTAGAAGATAGTGGGGGAGGAGGAGGAGGAGGACTATGGGGTTCTTGATGCCCTCTACGCTTGGTGGTTTTCTTGAAGACATTTCATTACCCAAACTAAGTAGCATCATCAGTGCCAATAGGGAGTGGGTTTTGTGGAGAGAAGGAGAAGGGAGAAGGAGAAGGAGAAGGAGAAGGAGAAGGAGAAGGAGAAGGAGAAGGAGAAGGAGAAGAAGGACTGTGGGCCCCTTGGTGTTCTCTGAGCTTGGTGGTTTTCTTACAGACGTTTCATGACCCAAACTGGGCATCATCATCCATGCTGGAAGGGAGTTGAGTTTATGAGGGGAGGAAGAGGATGGAGTCTGTGGGGTCCTTGGAACTCTCCGAGTTTGGTGAGTTGTTTTTTTTTTTTTTTCCAAACTAGGTTTGGGTAATGAAACATCTGCAAGAACCTCCCTCTCCCAAGCTCAGAGACCCCCCCCCCCAGGACCCCTTATATAGGAAAAGACTAGGTGGCATTAAACATTCCCGAAATATAAAGTACCGAGAGAGACAAATAACGGATCCCCCTTCGCACAACTCCCAGAAAAAAAGCAGGCTCAAGAAACAAATCCATGAGATGGTGAATTCGGAGGCATCACGTATCTCTGCCTACTGTCAAACACAACAAGCTCTCTATCATTAGCATGAAACACGGGGCCATTTCAAACAGGTTTAACCTGGATTTTGCACAAACACACCTCCCCATAAGCAACGTTAGGCTAGGCTCAGTGTTGTAACCGAAGCTAACCTTTGGAGTTTTGCACACAAGGAAGTCTGCGAGACTCACTCACTCACCGCCCATGTAAGGGGAATCCTGCCAAGTCTTGATTATTATTTCAGACTGAATTCTTCCAGATGAACCCGATTCATCTGCAAAAGTTTTGGAAAAGCTGGAGACAAAAAAAACAAACCCACAACAACAACAATGACAATCGATTTTGCCAATCGTCGGGCCCAAAGACATCAGGTTGGAAGACAAAAAAGGCTGTTTCCTAAGACCAGGCAGGTAGTCCTCGACTTACGGACGACCGAGCCCCAAGTTTCTGCCTAGCTAATAAAACAGAGCGAGGCGGTCGTGAAACGAGCGCGGTCTCATTTCGCGACCTTTCTTGCCGCAAACTGAATCGTTGCAATCGGGGCGGTTAAGATCGCAGAAGGGTGGGTCACATGAAACCCACCCACCCCCACTTCCCGAGGACACTGCAACCGACGGAAGTACCTGCCAGTTGCCGAGCCTCCGGATTTTGATCACGTGACTATGGAGATGCTGCCAGAGTCTGAAAAATTGTCACTTTTTTTTTTCTTTTGAAAAAAGTATTTTTTTTAAATAAAAAGCAACATAAAAATATCATCCTTACAAACAATTACAGGCAGCATCTCGATCAGTTAGAATCATTTCGTGCTAATAATTTTCAAAATCTCGTCGTACGACGATTATTCTTTCCTCGAACAAAAGATAAATATTGAAAAATGGTCACTTTTCATTCTTCACGGCTTCGAGCGGTCATTAAGTGGACTACCTCTACACTGCCAAGATCAAAAATCCAGCTGTCCGAATGTTCATCGCGATTGAGAAGCAAAACAACACCTATAAAGAGAGCTGATGGTTTTATTTTTATTTTATTTTTTGAAAGAAAAGAAGACGTTAACTTTTCTCCTACTTCGTTTTAACCTCCGCTCAAAATATTTAATAGTGGTAACCAGCCTCGAAAGCAGTTTAGAGAGGAATGGCGGCTTTGTTAGTAGGCTCTAAACTTGAGGAATAAACGAAGGAGGAGGAAAAAATACCAATAACTCCCCCACACACACCTGCCTGGCCAAAAGGAGATTTATCACAGGGGGGTAATTACAATCCTTAGAGCCATAATGTAGGGATTTAAAGTTATCAGCTCCTGGGTAATGAGCAGCTAAAAGAGTTAAGGGACTGCAGAAAAGGCTTTTTAATCGCCCTTATTAGACACGTAATGACAGCTGACAGTAAATTAAAGCCCTTCTCACCAACCCTTCTTGCTCTGGATCGTGTGGGAGTTTATTCATTTTTGGGGAGGGTCCTTAAAATAAAAATCTATTCCTTTTAGAGAACGGTCAAGGAAAGATCTCATCCTTGGTGTATAAATCCAGATTTAAGCTTTCATGTACCGATCCAGAATTCTGTCTATCACCCATCTCCTCCCACTTATGACTGTATGACTGTAACCTTGTTGCTGGTATCCTTACGATTTATATTGATTGTTTCCTAGTATGATTCGATTGCTTATTTGTACCCTATGACTATCATTAAGTGTTGTACCTTATGATTCTTGACGAATTGTATCTTGTCTTTTTATGTACACTGAGAGCACATGCACCAAAGACAAATTCCTTGTGTGTCCAATCACACTTGGGAAAGAAAGAAAGAAAGAAAGAAAGAAAGAAAGAAAGAAAGAAAGAGAGAGAGAGAGAGAGAGAGAGAGAGAGAGAGAGAGAAAGAAAGAAAGAAAGAAAGAAAGAAAGAAAGAGAGAGAGAAAGAAAGAAAGAAAGAAAGAAAGAAAGAAAGAAAGAAAGAGAGAAAGAGAGAAGAAAGAAAAGAGAGAAAGAAAAAGAAAAAGACAGACAGAAGAAAGAAGAGAAAGACAGACAGGAGAGAGAGAGAAAGAAAAGAGAAAGAGAGAAAGAGAGAGAAAGAAAAGAGGAAAGAAACAGAAAGACAGACAGAAGAGAGAGAGAAAGGACAGAGAAAGAAAGAAAAGAGAAAGAAAGAAAGAAAGAAAGAAGAGAGAGAGAAAGAAAGAGAGAGAGAGAGAGAGACAGGAGAGAGAAAGAAAGGAGAGAGAGAAAGAAAGACAGAAGAGAGAAAGGAGAAAGAAAAAGACAGGAGAGAGAGAAAGAAAGAAAGAAAGAAAGAAGAGAAAGAAAGGAGAGAAAGAAAAGAGAAAGAGAGAAGAGAGAGAGAAAGAAAAGAGAAAGAAAAAGAAAAAGAGACAGAAGAAAGAAGAGAAAGACAGACAGGAGAGAGAGAGAAAGAAAAGAGAAAGAGAGAAAGAAAAGAGAAAGAAACAGAAAGACAGACAGAAGAGAGAGAGAAAGGACAGAGAAAGAAAGAAAGAAAGAAAGAAAGAAAGAAAGAAAGAAAGAAAGAAAGAAAGAAGGAAGGAAGAAGAGAGAGAGAGAGAGAAGGAGAAAGAAAAAGACAGGAGAGAGAGAAAGAAAGAAAGAAAAGAGAAAGAAAGAAAAAAGAAAGAAAGAAAGACAGAAAGAAAGAATTCTGTCTTTCATAAGGGTGCAAGTCACTCTTAACTCTTTTGCAGGGATGTACTCATAAACGAAGAATTTTAGAAGATTACACGCTGGCTGGTGCAGGAACTGCCTGGCCCAGGAGCTAACCATAATAAACCACCGGCCTTTATAATAGTTTCAGAAAACAAGCCTGTTGTTTTAATGCCCAGTCACCCTCGGTGCATGCTAAGGTCATTCTGGGCTTATTAAGCCACTGAGATAAACTTAAAATAGCTCCCAGGTCTGCAGATGAGATAG